ACGTTCTTCAAGGTTGTCACGGCGCCCGTGTCCCACGAAGCTGGTGGTGGAGACGTCCCAGGACCCCGCTGTGCGTGCCCGACACGCGGGGATTTCCCTCCTCCGCGTCGCAGCGGCCAACCCCGCCTTCCGAAGTCGGACTCCGAGGTGGCAGCGTCGTGCTGAAAGCCCTCGTTGACCTGGCCGAGTTCGTCAAGAGAGCCTTTCTTCTCACCCTTCTGGAAGGTTTGCCCCTGATGAGAAGAGGGGGGGGGGGTGACTGACAGGGCACACGTAGAACCCGACAGTGTAGAAGATATTCACTAGATGTGACTTGAGGTTTCCCTCGGCGTCGTACTCGTTTCTTGGCCTTGCTCTTAGATTTCTCCTTCTTCTGAGCGCGCTTCAGCTTGGCGTCTCGCTTCTTCTTGGCCGTCAGCAGCTTCCCCATTTCAATTCCGCTCTAAAAACAAAACCCCCCCCCCACCGCGAATGAAAGCATCAGCTTGAAGAGAAAAGAGAGAACTGGAAGCCACTCAGTTCGTAATGAAGCGCACCTTCTCCTGCAGGGCCTCCAGGTACATCTCAGCGTTGGTGTAGTAGATGGTGGCGGACGAACGGAAGATTTTGATCCCCGGAATCTCTTTGGCCTGAAAAATAACGGAGATTTCACGAGATCATTCCGCTGCACAGCGTCCGTCTTACAACATGAAGCGACGTCAAAATGATCTTTTAAAGTGAAAGCAACATTAACGTTTGATTAACGGTAAAAAACATGTTCGTTGACAACCCAAAAGGAGGGGCGGGACTTTGCCTCTTGTAAGCTGCGCATTGGCTGAAATCTGCAGTCAATCAGAGTAGAAGAAGAAGTAGAGAAGCAAAACAAGCCGGCAAACGTTCTGAGAGTTTCTGCAGTTTGGTGACCACATGCTGCCCACAGTTTAAAAGTATATCAGAGGAGGCAGAAGAAAACATCACGTGAGATTAAATGTTTGATCCCATTAACTATTTTTTTGGGACAAAGTCGGTCATCAAGGTTTCATCAATTTTGTCGGCCCGCCGACGTGAAGCTGGCGTGTGAGAAGTGAACGGACCCTCTGGATGGAGATGCCTCTTACCTCCTTGTAGGTGTCGACGTCCAGATACAGATCCGTGCCTGCAACGCGTCCCAAGATCGAGTAGCGGGGGCTGAAAAACATCACGGCCGTTTCATTATTTCTTTGGCAGCTCTCGTGTTTCCACCAATGATGAGTGACCAGCGCGTAGTTACAGCTGCGTCCTGAAGATGACGGTGAGCATGGAGAAGGCGATGGACACCGCCAGGCCGAGGTCCAGGTTGAGCAGGATGGTGCTGGTGAACGTGCCCAGCCACCCCAGCGGGAGGAGGGGGGGGGGGGGGTCAAAGTTCAACCAGGTTCACACAGTCACGAGCAGATGTTCTTTACTTTCAGTCACCGTGGACGTCGGCTCTGAGACGTCACAATTCTCTGTTGTTAACATGAACATTCGACCCTCGTGCGGTTGTTTTGAGCAACGAAATTAGCTTTGGGGACTAAACCGCGTCTTCGTACCGGGATGTAAACGTGCTGCTTTCTGCTGTAAAGACAGACGCGCCGTCACTGAGCTCTATGGGGGCGTAACTTGCTGTTTGTGTGACTGCGGTTTGTCGGCACTCGTCGGACGGTCGGATGCAGTCGTACCAGATCCACCTTGTTGGTCTTCCACAGCAGAGGCACGTCCGTGAACTGCTTGAACATTCCTTTCAAATTCACAAACACTATTGTGGATAAGACGGCCTGAGGGACACAAGGACACTTATTATCTTCATTATCGGTTATCAGAGGGAGACGGAACACCGGAGGGGGGGGGGGCTCACCTTGGGGAGATCTGAGAAGAGAGAGCCTATTTTCAAAATGGTGACGAGCACGATGACGGACGAGATCAACCCGGCAACCTGACCGCACGCACACGCACACGCACACACACACACACACACACACACACACACACAACTTAGTGTGCGGTAAATGGGAAGGTGGGAATCCGATGTGAGGGGGTCACTTCCATGTGTTTACCTGCGTCTTGCCGCCTGTGCTCTCCTGGACGAGGCTGCGGGACAAAGACGCCGTGACGGAGTAACACTGAAAGAATCCGCCGATGGCGTTACTGAGACCCAAAGCCACCAGCTCCTAAAGCGCCACACGTGAGGGTAAAGATCAGTGAGTACAAACAGAAACAATCACATCTGAACCTTCGTCCCGACTCAACGCGGCACACTTTTCTTCAGAGGCTTGTTCACCTTATTTTCTGTGAAAAATGATCCCAGTACATCTTTTCATATTGTGATAAATATGTGAATTGTTCCATTGAGAGTTCAGAATAAACTGAACCTACTCGAGTCCCAGACTCACTGAGGGAAGGTCCTGCAGAGGCTACAGAACCCTTTGTGAGGTTCTATCCAGGATCTCACCGGCCGACTGAGGTTTCAAAACCGTCACTACTCTCCAGGTGATTAAAGGTTCTTCCTTGTGTCTGTGGGCGAGCATTAATATCGTTGCGCAATAGAGTGAAATATTATGACCCCATGTTCTGATAAAAGGACGACGGCGAGGTTCGGTCTCAGGTTACGTTGTTGCATAAAGAATAAATAACCAGAGGAGATTGAATAATGTGGAACGTTATGCTCAGGCTCCTTAACGCCTCTCCGCCGCGACTTGACTTCTGCCGGTTGCACAAAAAAAGGATCAGAAGTAAAAGAAGAAAACTATCGGCTATCTTGTGCAAACAATCTTAACGTTCAGTTCTGACTGTAATCTGAAGTCGCATTCATGTTCAAAGACGGATATAATTATCTTTGGCTCGTCCTGAGGTCAAAGGTATCAAATACATATCAGTCAATGCCATTAGAAAATAAATCAGGGAAGAGGATTTTAAAGTGACTTGTAGCCGCTTTAAAATCTCAAAATCTTTACAAGAAACAAGGAGAAACACCGTTTTTCTAAAAGCGCACAAACGACGTTTGTATCTCTGCAGACATTCACGTGTAAAATCATGAACATGTGAATCATCCATCAACATGGTAGAATCATGAACATGGTGAATCATCATCCACATGGTAGAAATCATGGAACCTGTGAATCATCATCACGTGTAGAATCATGAACATGTGAATCATCACATGTAGAATCATGAACATGTGAATCAACACATGTAGAATCATGAACATGTGAATCAACATCACATGTAGAATCATGAACATGTGAATCATCATCACATGTAGAATTGTGAACATGTGAATCATCATCACATGTAGAATCGTGACAACTTTGTTCCTGGAGGTCCTACACTTTTTTTTTGCATCCATGGACTGAACCTGATGCAGGACATTAAGTATGTGAATCATTTAATCAGAACTCTCACAGTTGCATGTGAGCACCACGATGTGTGTGTGTGTGTGTGTGTGTGCGTGTGTGTGTGTGTGTGTGTGCGTGTTCCCCACCTGGTTGCTGTCCACCTTGTAGCCGTGTTTGAGAGCGAATGTTTTGCCCAGAGAGATGTTGATGGCGTAGCCCACGATGGCCACGGCGAAAGCATCGCCGATCACCTCCAGGAACAACCCGGTATCTGGAGCTTTGGGGGCTTTTAGCCTGGAGGAAGGGGGGAGGGGGGGGGAGGGGGGGGGGTCAGGTTTTTGATCACTGCTCCTCACAGCGCTGAGGGCATCAGGGCAGAGAATGTTCAACTCTCATGTGTGTAACCAGCGGAATGGAAGTTCTCATGTTGGGACTGAGGAGTGACGTAATGGCTCCGGTGTCAACCTGTCAATCACAGTAAGCCCCGCCCTTAAGCATCCCCTGCTTTATGGTCTATTTGACTCTAAATGGACCCTCATTCACTAAATGGACATCATAATGTAATGAAGAAGACTTGAAACTAGATACTGAGATGCAGCTTTAACACAGGCGGGAAGTCAGAGATCTGATTCCCACAAACACACACTGTGACTCTCTTTGTATCATCAACTGTTCCACACATCTCTTATTATCAGCTGTCTCCCTTATAACACACACACACACACACAGATGAACTCACCCACTGGGAATCTCTCCAACCACATCGATGTTGTATTTACTCGTCAGTCCTCCGAAGTGCGTGATGACTGTTGCTGCTACGATCTGTTGGAGGGAAGAAAAGGAGGGTCGGTGAATCACGGCGGGCAGTTTGTGGGATGAGGTGCGGCGTGATGAAGGTTCCGGACTCACCACTATGATCTCTATGGGGATGGGAAGAGGCAGCTTCTGCCTGTAGCAGGCGTTGATCTCTTTGACCACGATGAGAACAGACAAAGCGACCAGGCTGACCACCAGCTCCGGGACCTTGGTCTGCGGCAGCAGGCGGCAGATATCCACCAGAGTCTGTGGATACAGTATATATATATATATATATATGTACATATATATATATATTGGTCCATTGTTGGTGGATCGGTGTCCACAGAGTCAGTGTTTTCCTGGATCAATCTGGACAACAGCAGTGCTCGAGGTTTGTGGTTCCTGTAGTACCTTTAGTGGTAATGTGACCACATTAAGGAAGTTACCTGACAAATAAACTTTGACTCCCTGAGGCGCCTTTTTTATTTAACTAAGCATTTGCGATCTCCTAAATAGAAGTATTCTTATCGCCCAGACTTCACCAGAGTGTCCTGTGAAAACTGATCTCCTTTCAGGTTGTTCTACAAAGGCTGCACACATTCTTTTCACAACGATAGAATGGAACAATAATCTGGACGCAACGAGCTGATTGTTGACAAGTTTAGTCTTTTATAGGAAACTGCAAAAAAAGAATGATTTCTTTTGTGTTACGTAACATTTATATGAATAAATAACCCCTCGCCAGCATCACCAGGTACTCACATAGATGAGGGAGAGCGGGCCGGTGAAGCGTTTCGGCGTGACCCCGAACAGGTACTTGAGCTGGGACACGCACACGTGACACGCCGACCCCGTGGTGTAGCCTCGAACCAGCGGCTCGGACAGGTAGGTGACCACGAAGCCGAACCGCACCACGCCCAACAGGATCTGGGAGGCGAGCGAGAGAGCGTGTTCACCACATCATTTCCTCTTCCACCTATTGGTTGTTCCCAACTCACCTGAAAGAGTCCCGCCAGCACGGTGAGGGAGCAGGCGACCTGAACCCTGAACCTGTCCCGCGCGTCCAGGTCCACGTTCCCCGTCGCGTTGGTGCCGTTCATCGGGAAGTTGGCGTCCGGACCCAGCCGCTCCGTCACGCTGCCCACCATGATGCTGATCACGGCGAAGGTACCTGGACGCAGGAAGACACTCGCAGGTTTGTTTGTGACGGACCGAAGGTTCTTCTGAAGGGAAATCCTCTGCTTCCTCTCTCGGGTCGGATCAAATCTGCTGCATAAAAGATTCCTTTCCCGGAAAAACAAATGCAGAACTTTCTCGTAGAGTCAACCCAGCGGTCTCTGGGTGACACCTTCATCTTCAAATCACAACCTTTGTTTACGCCACATATCATCAGACCTTGTAGTTCCAACTGTTTGGTCAGAATCTCCTGAACATCTCAAAGTTACCTGTTGAATGAAGACATTGTTTTTCAGTGGCTCACCAATGGAGATGTGCCTGGAGGTACCGAAGATGAAGTAGATCAGCACCGGGTAGAGGGAGGTGTAGAGGCCGTACACCGGGCCCAAGGAGGCCAGGAGGGCGTAGGCCATGCCTGGGAAACAGAAATAACAAATACAGACACATTTACGGCGGGAATAGTTCGACTTTCTTGGTTGAGCTCGTTGGAGCGAGTGGAGCAATACACCCCCATGATTTGATTCATGTCACTCTCTGTCTTTATGAAAAGATCCTTCATATATCAAACGTGACTTCTGCATCCGACCCGAACATACGACGACCAGAGAAACCTGGGATCAGACCGCATCCTCTGTGGTTTCATCCTCCTTAGCTTCATCTACTGGAACATCAGGTGACCACGTTCAATCCGCCTTTGTCGATGATCATTTGGAATTTTAAGCAGTAAGTGAGCTTTTCCTTAAATTTCAAATGCGTTTTGCGTTCTAAACTTGGGACGACTTTGCCTTCAAGGCTTCCTAATGGAAAGTGATGGTGCGTTAAAGCTTCATGAAGCTTTCCAGCACATTGTTTCACCAAATGTTCCATTTGTTTTCAGGAGCTTTGGGGCGACACCACGTCAGGTCCCAAAAACCCTGATAACCTGGATAGTTGTTCTTAAAGCTCGTTATCGGTGCCACCAGGTCGGATTCTGGTGAAACCCAATGACAGCATGAAGGTTCACAGAACGTCCTCCAGCTTAGACTCCCGGAGCAGAGCTGCTGGAGGGAAGGGAGGCCCAGGAGAACCAGAAACCCGGACTGAGAGGGGCGGACCTTGCTGCAGTAGAATGAGAGGTTTTCTCAAGGGACCCTGGTTCTCAGATACACCACTTTCCTCCGCAGGGGGCGCCAGAATCACCAAAATTGGCGGGTTTTGCAGCATTTTGACACAGACATGCTAGATGTTTTCCTCCCGTTTACAGTCTTAATGCTAAGCTAAGCTAACCCTGACATCTTGTACTAAGCACAGAGGATGCAGCCTCCGCTGCACACTGCGTACCCTGCGGCAGGTGCATGATGCCCACGCTGCAGCCGGAGATCAGGTCTCCGATGGCGTTGTCTCTGAAGGAGTAGCGAGGCAGCCAGCCGAGAACCGGGATCCAGCTCTGCGCCGTCTGCTTCAGCCGGGGCCCCGAACACCTGCAGCGGACATCCAACCGTTTTAGTTCACCATGGAACTACTTCACTTTCGTTTTATGCACATATTATTATAAATATAAAAAAAAAAGAAAACAGACAACGAATCTTAATTATGATGAAATGAGGCTTGTGAACGGAAAAACCTGCAACGGTTTTTATCAGCCGGCCTCGTTCTGTCACGCAGAGATAGCGAAGTGACGACACACATCAGATCTCGCTGCTCGCAGAACACGTTTGAGCTCCGTATCGTTGTTGGAAAAAGTCCAAAACAAACATTGTGGTTTTATTTAACTACTTTGTCCGTTTGTGCCTGTGTTTCTTATCCTAAATTCACAAGAGGTTAGCATTAAATTATGCCTCATTTGCATATTTAAACTCAACATGTCAGTAAACACAATAAATGCTGCTCTTAATGTACTGATTAACTGGTGTAAATCTTCACCTTCACTCTTCACCCTCTTTCAACACTGATGTGTCTAAACGTCTCTTTCAACGACTTTGTACTCTGATCCAAAAGTCTGAGATCTTAGATTACATTCAGAGAATCATTTATACTACATTTATTAATAAAAACAGGATTTTATTACACTATTTACTGCAAAGAGTCCAGAGTTCCCATTGAATCCAATGTAATGAAACAGGGATGTTTTGTCAGTGGTGAAGCTCTGAGCCGGTTCATCTTTACCTCAAAGACTCCTTCACCCGTTCCCCCGCCGTCGGTTTCGTGGACCACGTCCCCTTCTGGGCCACTTCCTCCAGACGCACCTCATCCAGAACTCTCCTCTGCACCAAGTACTCCCCGGCCTTCTCCTCCATGTCCTCCTCTGTGAGACCAGATCCAGCAGACCTTCTACGCTCCCCCTCGAGCAAACTGCTGCTTCAGCAAGAGCCGACCAGGTGTGTGTGTGTGTGTGAGTGTGAGTGTGTGGCAAGAGTGGCGCCTCCTCCTCACTGTGGACTGATTGACAGCCTTCTGATGGTAACCGACTCTTTTTATAAGAGCAACAACCCTCAGACCACATGTACCTCCTCTGCATGGACACAACAGTGTGTGTGTGTCTGTGTGTGTGTGTGTGTGTGTGTGTGTGTGTGTGTGTGCTGATTGAAAATCGTGCTTATTAACAGAAGACCAGCAAACAGGACAGAAAGAAGATTGTTTAGTGTGTTTCAGAGGCACTGAGACGTCTTATCTTTATGGGTCCCAACTATCAGCATTGATTTATAGAATCTTTACTTTTATTATTATTTATGGAACGATAACTGAGTCGTCTCTATTTACACCTTGTGAGGTCACTTCCTCTCAGACGTCCATGTTCAGTGTCAGCTAAACGAAGCACTAAAGGACTGGATACAATAAAGGAGTCTTACTCAGAAAGCAACTTCAGGTTCTCTAAAATGAAGCTATTGCTTCATGAGTTAAAGCTGCATCCTCTGTAGTGACCAGCAGGGGGCGACTCCTCTGCTCCCATAGACGTCTATGAGGAAATGACTCTACTTCTCTGTAGTGACCAGCAGGGGGCGACTCCTCTGCTCCCATAGACGTCTATGAGGAAATGACTCTACTTCTCTGTAGTGACCAGCAGGGGGCGACTCCTCTGCTCCCATAGACGTCTATGAGGAAATGACTCTACTTCTCTGTAGTGACCAGCAGGGGGCGACTCCTCTGCTCCCATAGACGTCTATGAGGAAATGACTCTACTTCTCTGTAGTGACCAGCAGGGGGCGACTCCTCTGCTCCCATAGACGTCTATGAGGAAATGACTCGATTTATTCCCTCGGTAAACATTGTAAACATGAGTTTATGGTTTAGTTTCAAGTCTTCTTCCAAACAGCATGATGTTCATTTAGTAATTATGGTCCATTTAGTTAAATTGGAATTAAATACACAATGTGTGTCTCTGTAACCGCCCTATAATTGACAGTCTAACTCATCACAGCAACTTTAAAGCTTGTTAAATAAAAGCCATATATCCTCGAACAAGGAAACCATATAAAACAAATTCCTCCGTCACTCTCCTGCAGGCTCCTCTCAGTCGTCGTTTTCATTCAGTATTGATTACTGTAATACGCGTAGATGAAATCCAGCGTTCTGATTGGTTGAGAGTGAGTCACATGTTGCTGTTCGCAGTGACCCGATTGTTCCGTATCACTATTTTCTCTCCAGGCTACTGAAATGCGACACACAACGTTTGGTGGCTTCAACTACTGACAACTGAAAGGCAGCTATTTACCTACTAATTATAATTTCGCTGGTAACCGTATTATAAAAGCGACAAGGTACTTGTGGCGGTACTTTATCTCCAATAACGTAACAGTTGGGGGTGTTGTTAGGCCCGACGTGGAGCGATAAAGTAGAGCCTCTTTTTCATCCTGTGTGAAAAGGAGCCGCGTTGGTTTTAATGTGACCAGCAGGATGAACCGATCCCACTGTGACAAATGAAATAGCCTTTATCATTTATAAAATAGAACATCCCACTCATTTCCCTTTCATTTTTTCACAAAATGTCTTATAATAATAAGATAATAATATATTATCATTGTTATATCTTAATATTTAAAGCAGGTTGGTGGTCAATACTCATCAGTGACTTCATCTGCATAGTTTTATGTTTTAATTATTGAAGTCTAAAACGATGTCCAGGTCACCGGAGCTCAGCTGTGTATTTTATTTCATTCTGAGACGTGACCCCTCTGAGGGCAGCGTTATCAGGCCGTTTCCTCCTGGCTCTCGTGTTTCCTTAATGATTGCTGTGAAATAAAGCGTTTAGGTGTCGTTTCATGAATGACTGACAGTAATGGATGAGTGTTGGAGGTGAGAGGAAACCTTCTTTCACACATTCACCCGCTCCAACACGTCAGTGTGGAACACTGTGATTAGCGAGCTGAAGGAGGGTTTTTGATTAAAGGCAGAAGTCTTTGGAGTCCAAAGTCAAAGCCCAGCTGGTTGTTTATGACGAGAACAGCTGTTTATTTTCATCCTAAACACAAACATCTGCATTTACAGCAATACGGACAGATTTGAAATGAATCCGTTTATTCCTAAACACCACATCTGCTGCAGAGATTTACAAAACCAAAACATTATTGTTTATTCTGCACACGTGTGTGTGTGTGTGTGTGTGTGTGTGTGTGTTGATTTACGGCATAATAATAAAAAACATGAGTAATAGAAGCCCAAGTGAGAAACTGTGTTGAATAAAGACAAATGATCAATGTTTCGTTAACTTAAAAACGTTTCTCCCACCACCAGTGCTTTCAGGCTGATGTTTAGCGCCACTGTGACCGGGTTCACCATCTTGGTTTAGCATCTCAGTCTCGTGGTGGTGGACGGAAACCAAGTCGTAGGAGACCTTTCTGACTCAGCGCTTTGACACTTTGACACGCCTCCTGCAGAGGGGTCACTGATTAATCCGCACACACATTAGGTTGCATAAGGTCTCTGTGGGGAACAATTAGCCTGAGATTCGATAACCGGTCGGGGGAGCAGACGCACTCCGACCTGTTGGACCTGCAGCAGAGTCTCTTGACGGGACACGTGTGCAGAGTCTCTTGACGGGACACGTGTGCAGCATGAACTTCATTGACCTCTGTTATCGTCGGCCGTTAATGCTACCGGAGGGGAAACGTGCACGGAGCTGCAGCGCTGTGTCAGGTGGAGATGCAGGAACCGGTTTCCTCTCTCTGGGTTTCGTCCTATGCCCCGCCCCTTTTAGGAGGCGTGTCGCAAGTGCTTTGAATCCTTTTTCAGTTTTTGACCACGCGGGCAAGAGAGACTGTTCTTTACGATGCAAATTCCAAACGTGCAGCACAGGAATGTTCTACTGTGTTTGTTTTGTTGTGCATCCCTGCGTTGCGTAACGGCAATAAATGATCCTTGGAGGGCTGTCAACAGATAATCATTCATTAACACTTATTCAACAGCGGTCCCAGAGTGATGGACCTGTGTCTCCACTCCCTCCTCCATCCACTCGAGGTCGAGGAAGCAAAAACTCTGCTTCAGTTACTCTTTAACAAACGTTCCCAAACACCAGCAACCAAATCTGCTTCCAAGCTCACAGCAATGATTAGCAGAATTAATCAAGAAAGAACATGTTATCTATTAAATGTTCATTAAAGACAACTCAAAGGTCTGCATGCTAATTAATATCCTGCCTGCAATATCCTCTGTAAAGAACAAAAGGACATTAATCAATCATTGATCCGGTTTTATTCACAGTGCATCATTTAAACAATAAAATGCAAGTGTTCTACAAATGATTAAAGATATGAAGACAAGATGGAAAAACAATAAGAAAACAACTATTTGCAATGTTAGCTAAAAAATTATAAATTAAACTAAAAGTTAAATTACTCTTATAAAAGTGGACATTAAGCCAACAAAGTGTTCCTGCTCCATCTGGGGTGGAAAATATAAACAGAAGCTCTGGTCATTTAAATACCCGACTGACTGACTTAGTCAGGGAAGAGTGTTAAATAAAGACAGATACACGCCTGCCAAGACAATTCTTACAGATGTTAATAAAATACCTGAACACAAACGTCTCTTTTTGTGGAGAGTAATAAGAAACAAAATAGATTTTTATGGGGAAATTTGCCTTAAAAATTCCCGGAAAAAAAGCACAACTTTTTTATAGTATAGAGTATTAAGAATTTTTAAAGAATAAAAAAACATTACGTTATTGATATTGATTAAGTGAATCCGGCTGCGGGTCGGTTCCTGGCCACTAGGTGGCAGACAAACTTCACGTTCCGCAGCTCAGCGGTTCTGATGTTTTTTGCAGCTGCAGAATGTTACTTTGTGGATTTTACTCGCGAGGAGGATCTGGGGAGAAGTGGAGGGCTGCTCCTCCTGACGGTGTGTGTGTGTGTGTGTGTGTGTGTGTGTGTGTGTGTGTGTGTGAAGGACGTGTCCTTACTTTCGTGTGACTCACTCAGCACTTCAACAAGGGGACCAAATGACTATAATAGTCTCCTCCTGACGGACCCCCTTTACTGGATGACACACACACACTGATAATCTGGCTGGGTGACCCCCCCCCCCCCCCCTCGTGTCTTTAGTAAACAAACACTCTGTAAGAGGGGACACTCAGCGTGGTTACATGGATTCAAATAACTGGCTCAGTCGGACTGAAATCCAATGATCCGTTTCATGTAAACACCTTTTGTCCGACTACGATGCGACTAACACGCCTGGATAACTCCATCCGATCCGGTTGGTAGTTCGACTATCGCGGCACGTGACGGTGAATCGGATGAGGAACTGGACTTTGCGTCTTTGCGCGTGCTCGAGATCCCGACGGCGTCTTCTCTCCGTTATCAAATCAGCCGATAGCGCCATTCGCATTCGCTGTGCTCCTGTTAGCATCACGCACAGACAGTAGAGGGACGTAGCTTCACCTCGCTCTCCGCTCGCCGTCTTTCTCCTAATGTTGATGTTGATGTTGTTGTTGTTGTTGTTGTTGTTGGTAGTGGTGAAGCGGAAATGCTGCATCACAACTAGTTGTAATGAAAACAGCGCCACCTATCGTATCGGATGTGACGATATGCTTTCTGCCAATGATTCGATTCATTCACTGCCATGAATATTGGGATAATAGCACCTCCCCCCGAAAGAGAGCAAAGTCCCACTAAGCAAAGATTACAGTTATACCATCATGTAAACATGTGTGTGTGTGTGTGTGTTTGTCCCGTGTCCTGAGTCCTGAGCAGTGGATGTGTCCCGTGTCCCGAGCTGTGGATGTGTCCCGTGTCCCGAGCTGTGGATGTGTCCCGTGTCCCGAGCTGTGGATGTGTCCCGTGTCCTGAGCAGTGGATGTGTCCCGTGTCCCGATGATGGAGTACGCCAGCAGGGGGGAACTGTACAACTACATCCAGCAGAGGAGGCGACTGCCTGAACCTGAAGCCCGAAGCATCTTCAGA